GGGATGATAATTAATTAATCGAAACTAATACCAATCACGAATTCACAATAAAACAAATACAGGGCATCCTTGATAAAATAAATCCAAGATTGGGCATGGGCCCATATCCATTTTCCGCAAGTGATCTGATGCCAAAATGAAACCAAATTGATATAGAAAGGCATAAACTATCCCAAAATGTAAACAAAGGAAAGCTAATACATACAGTGAGTTGGAAGGACAAACAAAAGAAATGTTGATGCAAATGCCTGCAATATAAAGGGAAACGTTAAAAGACAAATGATCACAATTATTATCATACTTTATTGTAGAAAAATAAAATCATTATTCGATTATCTCAGAATATTGATGATATGAGTTTTAAGTTTACATGATCAAATTATTTTAATTTATTTTAAATATCAAATAGTTTCATTATAAATGCATAAATAGAGAAGGAAAACACAGTATTAAAATAAAAATTTGCTAGAATTGTTACATATAACAAATCTTTCGGGCATCAAACATAATGAAGAAGAGGTTTTACGAGCATCTTAATTTGGCAATCGGAATTTGTCTGATTTGTCCATCGCCCTTGTGTTCTGCCAGCATCTTAATTTTACTTTTTACCCCTCACTGAATTTGTCCATTGCCCTTGTGTTCTGCCAGCATCTTAATTTGGCTATCGGAAATCAAATATTGTCCATGAGCAGGGCTATATTTATTTTAAATTGAAAAGGATATTTTATTGCAATATAAAAAAACTGCACAATAATGGTGAAAAGGCACTGAAACATTCCGTGAATCAAAACACAAACCTAAAAAAAGAGTTGTCAAAATATATCCGCCTTCTAAAGAGAAATACACAACTATCTATAGACAATAAAAAATTGGCAAGGCTACGTAAAACATATGTGAAAATCCCTCTAGTATCATTTGTAAAACCCATCTGAAAAGCAACAAATTGAATAAAGAAAATCCGTAATAATTGGATTATAAAACATCCAACTTGCAGGCATGATATAGAATCATTTCTGATTACATATTCAATAAAAAACCTATAAGCAAGGTTATGTGAAACATATGTGAAAATCCCTGTAGTAGTGATTCGTAAAACCGATTTGCAAAATCAACAAATTGAATAAAGAAAATCCCTAATAATTCGATTAAAAATATCCTCAGCTTGCAAGCATGATATTGGATCTTTTTTTATTACATATTAAATAAAAACCTAAAAAATAGGGATTCAATACAAATAAAAAAGAGGAGAAATAGATTTGGAGATACCATATGGAACTGTGGCAGAGGGGTGAGGTGACAGGAAATTGGGAAGGCAAGGCAGCAACCATTTTTTTAGGAATTTTGGTCAGAATTGCTTACTCGTGCCGCCTGGAACATTGTGACCTTTGACCCTCAATGAAGCTGAGAACGCAATGTCATACTTGAGTATAATATTTGGGTACAGAACTCCCTAGTGTTGACCCCTTTCGCTGCTCCATTTGGTTTGTCAGGCAATTCATCGAACAATTGAAGTGCACCAATCTTTTTAAAATTTAATCTAGATACTTGACTACTTACCTTAACATTTGGATTCAACTTTGATTTTTCCGAGGGCTATGAACTCAGAGACAAATTTCTTTGATAATCTAATGCCAACTGAAACTGGAGAAAATTGAAAAACAATCTTAGGGCTGATAAATAATTAATCAAACAAAACTACAAATCACAAATTCACATATTCCAAAAATATAACTATTAATTGTGTAAAACACTCAAAAAATGGGCACATTTAAAGTGTTGGTGTTAATCAATTCCTAAGAAAATAAAAAATGTAATCAACGGACATGGACATCAAATAACTCAAAAATAATCAAAGGATGATGTGAATTCAACCTCTAATTAATGGCTAAACAATAATTGAGAGAATCAATATGGAGTACAATATTAGAATTTTACCATTTTGGCAATAGAAAGAGGGTATTGACTTGCGCCAGTTGTGGTTGAGCAAAGGTCATCGTCTCCACTAGGATGCTCCATAGAGTAACAGAGAATACCTGGATTGAGTTTCAGCAGCATCGTCTCCACTGGGATGCCAATCCTTACAACTGACCTAGAAAATTAAACTACAGCGTATGATACTACATGGAATGACATGTGTCAACACCACAGTTAAAAAACCCTACTTTATATATATACAGTCGCGGATCTAGAAATTAATATGGCCGGGGACCCATTAGTACTAGGGTTCATGGTAGTCCGCCTCCACTCCACCCCTGGATTTTTTTATAAAGAGCCACCATAAAGGCGTAAAATGAAAAAATATATTCTAAATTTCATCTCAAATCATCTTTTGAAAAATTAAAATTAAAATGTTTTAAAATGGTAAATAATTTACACAATATATTACTCTATAATTAGGCTTCATTTAAAAAATTTTAGAAATTTCACATTCATATTATATTCAAACAATCATTAATAATGCTAATAAACTAAGGCCTTGTTTGGAAGTTGGTGGTTGGCTGTTACTTGCGTGCTTGTAATTATTTTAAAAATGTAATTTTATGTATATGATTCTTATAATATAATACTCCTTCCACCCCACAAAAAAGTTCACCTTTTGACTATAAATTGTTCAAACAGTTACACGCTTTGACCATAAATTAAATATAATCTAAATAAAGAAATGCTAAAAAATTTGAGATATCAAAACTAGATCCTAAGATGAATCCAAATATATTAAATTTATTTTATAATTCAATATATTTTACTCACAATTTGTAGTCAAAGCGTGTAAATATTTGACTAAATACTTGTAGGACAGAGGGAGTATAATTTATGAAAAACTTATAATATGTACATTTTAGAATATACTATTTATTTTATTTTATAGCAACTCTATATAAAGAATCTTAAAAAAAGTATAAATCTGTACACTAAATAAAAACTTGCTTAGGAGTATAATGTTATTTGTTTAATGAAATTAATATTGAATTGTTTGTTATCAATGTAAAGAAATATATATAAAAATACATATTATTTGGCTCCCAACTTTTTTTTATATTTGAGTAAAACTTACAAAAATTAGTGGGGGCACCACACATTTTAGAATGGGGGCACCATAAACTTAACCAATGTAAACTTTTGATAATTATAGGCTTTGACTGGGGGCAAGTGCCCCCCATGGCCTTGCACTCGATCCGCCCCTATATATATATATATATATATATATATATATATATATATATATATAATTATTGCATGCGTTATTATAAAAAAGAAAGTAAATTAAAGACTTTATATAAGTACGCATTTAAGGGGGTATTGATAAAGAAAGAGGAGAATCAATTCTAGAGCAAAATTGGGCGTATATGGCCAGCAACGACGTAATGGCAAGAATGGAAATATTTAACGGTGTACCAGCTCCAATCTCCAATGCACAATGTACAACTTTTATAGATGGAAAAGGTGCACAAATATAAAGGGTGCCTAACTGGGTTTCACAAAGATATATATATGTATATGTATGTATGTGTGTGTGTGTGTGTGTATATATATATATATATATATATATATGTTTATATAATACAGACATATAAAATAATAATGGTAATTAATACACAAATTGAAAATATAATGGTAATTATTAGACTAAAGAAATTGTAACTATTAATATGTATTAATTAAATAATACACAAATTGAAAATATAATGGTAATTATTAGACTAAATAAATTGTAACTATTAATATGTATTAATTAAATAATACACAAATTTAAAAAATTATGAATAATATCCTTAGTGACCTGATGCTGCTGCACTAAGTCGCTGACCAAGGAGGGACGCACGGAAGTTGCTACTCTAGGAAGGAGAGATGCTATGAACCAGCGACTTCAGAGAGTGGGAGCAGAGTCGAAACTGGGAAGCTCAATCGATAGTTGATTGGACGAGAGGATAGGGGAAAAAGACGGAAGAGGGGAGGGAATACGATCGATTAAGGTAATGGATAAACTGACATAAGGCAACGGATCAAATCATTTAGTTACAAACGGGCTTAAGCCCAGTTTCATTAATCCATTCAATTCTTAAGGCTCAACAACGAAAAAAAGTTGCACAGATCTGTATGGCGATAATTGCACAGCGGCGTTACAGCCTCGCCTTAGCGCCATAACCGCCTTAGGCGAGTATGGCGCTCGCCATTCATAACTATGTGCCACACATGATTTTCATTTCTTAAAGCATGTTGGTGGGCTCTTGTAGTTTAATTAACAAAAAATAAAATTTCATATTGTCTCTCTAGATTTAAAACAATATAATCTTTTATTTTTGGAAAAGGATCAAGTTCTATCTCAAATGAAATTTGTCCTTCAGAATTGTTTGAAAAAATTTTGAATTTGACACTTATTTTGAAGATGACCTTAAATGTTATTTGTGACAGTTTCAAAACCACTTAATCTGTCTTCAAGTTCATCAGAGAAATATTAGAAATCTGATTCTTTTTATTGTTTAAATAAGTCTCATCATCTTGAAAACATATTCTCAATCAAACTCTGATTGCTTCTCAAAATCTAGTCCATTACCTTCCGTTTGATTTGGAAGGTCTGTTTCAACCATTTGAAACTCTTCATTTAATTTTAATTCATAAAATCCTTCTCTCATTTTATCTTGTGTTTTAAAATATTCAGAAGTCTTAGTATTAAGAGTTAGAGTGTGGTTCAATTTCAAAGAGTGAGCATACCATTTGAAACTCTTCATTTAATTTTAATTCATAAACTCTTTCTCTCTCTTTATCAGGTGTTGTACTAATATGTCATAATGAGGATATGTGACTATGCAAATTTTGGAACTCTACATCCCTTGAAAATGTGCTGCCTGTCAATATAAGCCGAAAACATGTTTTAAAATGATACTATTAATATTTTATAACATAATACAGTGCAATGTCCCTTTGACCGCTTTAACAAAATGACATTATTAATATTTTATGACGACTGTTCTAGTGTTTTATGATGACTATCCCTGAAGGATATCGGGTCTGATGGACCCGACTCCAGGCCCAATAAAGGCCCATAATAGCGCGAGATGGATAAGGCCAGGTGGGGGTAACGGGCTGAGCCCGCTACTACACGCATGGCGAATGGGGAAAGGACGGCCCAATCATAGGCTAGATCAAGACGACCCAGTCCAAGGAAGGAATGGGACATGTGGCCCACATCACCAAGTTGTGGACGAGATGGGAAGAGAACGAGACCGGGAAAGAGGGAATCACAACCCCATGATCTCCATAATCCCTCCCATTTTGTATAATTTTAATTACAATTTTAAAATTACCCGCCATTGTAGAAGTACTATAAAAAGGGAAAGAACCCGCCATTGTAAAGGGAGACCTCAAGTATTTCTATACTTAATGAAAGAATATTATTACGAGATTATATCTTTCTGATCCATATTACGTTCTTGGTCTGCTATCTGATCGGGTTAATCCTATCATTGGTGCTTTCATTGAGAGTAAAACTGTGAGATTAAAACTGTGAGATAAAGCTGTGAGATTATGGCCGAACGAAGGACGAGACGTAAGCATAGTTATCACGGCGTCGCCTAGGCGTCGCGGCGCCCTCCGGATCTCGCCTTGATGATTCGACTCGCCTAATTTTCAATTCCTCGCCTAGTCGTCGCTTTTCCGACGACTAAGCGTCCTGGCGCAGCGCCTTTGTCCACTAACGCCGTAAACATGGTAGTCAAATTCCAGATCTGGATCTTCTAATTCTATATCCCAGATCGACTTAGGGTTTGCTGCGAAGAAGACTGTACGATCCTAGATCTTCTCCGATCAGATGCGAGAGAGTCAAGGGTTAACATTCGGGAGACAGCCGACCCGACCCGACCCTTTAATTACGACGGAATTCCCAGCGGCTAGCACTATCGACTATTCTCGTAGGACTTTAACTTTTTTTTTCGGCTGTTCAGTTTCTCTTAATTCCCCAGCGACTAGCACGCCCTATTTTCCTTTAAAATTAACCTTTTACCATGTATTTTCTTTAATTAAAAGATGTCTTCTACAAGTGTTTTTTATATTTTCTATTTTTGAAAAAACATATATATAATATAATACTCTTTAAAATAAAATAAAATATACTTCGTAATATAATATATATATATATAATGTAATTTGTCGCCTAATCGTCGCCTAGGCGCTCGCCTAGGCGTCTAGGCGTCATGGCAATACCTTGGCGCCGTGATAACTATGGACGTAAGGAGTGACCATCCTGAACAAGGTATGATCGTTCCTGTCAATGGGCTGGAAACGGCGTTGAATAATGTGGCTAACATGATGGCCAACATTATGGAGCGATTATACAAAGCTCTCCCTGGTCCCTCTGGTACCCGGGATGTCGCTGCCGGGCAACCACGCCGGGTCCTGCGAGTTCTCCCATCCTCCAGGAGCTTCATGATCCGGAGAAGGTCGAGAGGGAGAGACAGGCCATCGATAGACGCCGGGCGGAGGAGTTGGCTCGGAATAGTAAGGTGAATGGGAATTGGGCCAGGGCGGCGAGCCAAGTCATTGGCAACAGAAACGAAAACCCGCGGGGAACAGTCTTTGAAAGGATATCTCGCCAGAAGGCTCACGTTAGTGAGAGGCTGGGGAAGAATCCGGACAAAGCGCCCCAGGGTTGGATGCGGCTCATGCTTGGATTTACTTTTGGCTCTACAGTAATGTATTACTTGCCCCTACTTGATCAGAACAGTTTGTCAGATTGAGGTCTGGACAACCTTTGGGTTTTTGCCTGTTCGCACTATCCCATCATTTTCTGGTGTAGTTAGCTGCGGACGAGGTATACCCTTACAAACTGGGTGATTACATTGTTATCGCCGACAAGAAGGTAGCAGAATGCTCGCTTTGCTAAGGGTTAGGTTAGCAAGACATACCTCGTTGAGGCAATAAGACTCTTAACCGTTCGCATCCCATCACCATGGGCTACTCACTTGTCACCAGGAAGCACATCAACAGATGCAGTTGANGCGGCTCATGCTTGGATTTACTTTTGGCTCTACAGTAATGTATTACTTGCCCCTACTTGATCAGAACAGTTTGTCAGATTGAGGTCTGGACAACCTTTGGGTTTTTGCCTGTTCGCACTATCCCATCATTTTCTGGTGTAGTTAGCTGCGGACGAGGTATACCCTTACAAACTGGGTGATTACATTGTTATCGCCGACAAGAAGGTAGCAGAATGCTCGCTTTGCTAAGGGTTAGGTTAGCAAGACATACCTCGTTGAGGCAATAAGACTCTTAACCGTTCGCATCCCATCACCATGGGCTACTCACTTGTCACCAGGAAGCACATCAACAGATGCAGTTGATTCCTCTTCGAATGAGTTTCACATAGTGAAACGAATCTCTAGGTACGACCAAAGGGAGTCATAGGTCGAATGAGTTTCACATAGTGAAACGAATTCCCCTCTTCGAGGTATGAAGTCACTAGAGAATTTGTTGAACTCATTCGACCAACGTACGACCAATGGGAGTCCCTCTCCTTTACGGTCGAGTGACTTCGTACCTCTCCCTTACGGTCGAGTGACTTCGTACCTCTCCCTTACGGCCGAGTGACTTTGTACCTCTCCCTTACGGTCGAGTGACTTCGTACCTCTCCCGTAGGTCGAGTGACTTCGTACCTCTCCCATAGGTCGTACCTAGAGATTCGTTTCAAACGTTGAACTATGTTCAACTCATTCGAAGAGGAATCTTCGAGTCACTTCGTAGGTACAAAAGCCATTCATCTTGGCTTAGGATGATTTGCCCCAGTCGAGCGGCTCTGCATTCATTGCAGAAGCAAGGGGCAGCCAAGTGGCATCTTCTAACCGCGAACCCCGACAGCGAATCGGCCACGGTGGGAGCCAAGCGCCGGTGTGGTCATTGGTGGTTCTAGACGCGGACGAAGTTCAGAGCTAAGTCAGGGTTCCAGCACCACAGCGTTTGGGGTCGCCGGTACCGGAAGCAGGCGAATTCCAGGATATGAGGCAACAGATTCAGGAGATGCAGAGGAAGATAAACAGGGGATGAGTATTCACTACCCGGACGAATACTCCCTTGGCCCCGGAGATCTTTGCGGAACCATATCCGCAGGGATTCAAGATGCCATTCGTTAAGCGTTATGATGGGGAGTCGGATCCCCAGGAACACATAAACAGCTACGTCCAGGTGATGATTGCTGTTGATGCCAGCGACGACAAACAGTTGATAGCAAGGTTTCGGATTGGGTGAATCACATTCCTGTCGGATTGATCCGGACATGGGATGAATTGGGATTGCGGTTCTTAGAGCATTTTGCAGGGAACTGCCGTCCCAAGAAGCATTTTACTCACCTGGCTTCAGTGCGGCAGAAGCACGGAGAATCCTTGAAGAATTTCCTTATTCGGTGGAGAAAAGAGTCCAGGGAGGTTGAAGGAACCGACGACAAATCCAGGTTGGCCATGTTCACGGCGGCATTACAAGATGGTCTCCTTCATACTGATCTCACAACCCATCCCCCTGATACCTTTGAAGAAGCAATGGTCCGGGCCGGAAGGTATGTGACCCTGGAGGAGAGGAAGGAGGAGAAGAAAGAGAAGACTCCCAAAGAAGAAGAAAAGGCAGGAAATAAGAAGCCTTTAAAGAACAAGAAGCAGAGCTTCCCGGATGGCCCAAAGGGCACAAGCCCTGGGACCTCGGAGAAGCACAAATCTGCCAATCCAGTCTTCACGTTGCCGGTGGCTGAGGTCATGGCTCATGCTGCACAACAGGGACTTATGACTTATCTGACCTATTCCCAGAAGGTCTGCAATGTGGAGGACACTGGAAAATGGTGTGCCTACCATCGCAAGAATGATCACAACATAGAGGATTGCTATACCCTAAAGAATGAGATGGCGAGGCTAATCCGTCGGGGCCATCTGAAGAAGTTTGTACAAGATGGTGACGCGGGAAATCCCGGGAACGCTCAGAATGGGAAGCGTAGGGATAAGGAGGTGGCCCAGGCTGAGGCCCGGGAAAAACGCCACATCGGGCTTGAAGATGAAGAGGAGGATTCAGAGCCCGCACCGCCAGAAGAGACACCACGGGTGTAACTTCATCATCGGAGGGAATACAAGCGGAGACTCGGCCATGAGCCGGAAGAAGTGGGCCAACGCGGCGATGGTCAATAAGGTGCTGGTCCCAGAAGGTAAGAAGTTGAAAACTGAGCCAATTGTATTTTCCAATGCTGATTTGCCTGAAACAGGGGTCCCCCATAGGGCCCTGGTGATTACGATTGATATAATGGACTTGCTGATCCACAAGACTTTGGTGGATACGGGATATGGATACTTACAAGGCTCTTGGTTTGACGAGAGATGAGTTATCACCCATCAAGACTCCGTTGACCGGGTTCACTGGCGACTATTGAACCGGAGGGGGTAATAACTCTCCTGGTCGAAATAGGGGATACTAAGGCCACCCGGAAGTTGGACATGGAGTTCGTTGTAGTGGGGATAATCTCCAATACAAACATCATCCTGGGCAGGCCCGGATTGGAAGATCTAGAGTGTGTCATCTCACCTCGTCACCTACCTGTGCATAAAGTTCCCAAGCCCCCATGGAGTTGGAATCGCCAGGGGATCCCAGAGAGTGTCCCGGGCGTGGTATTTGAAGGCAACCAAACATAGTGATCTCTCCTCTTCAAAACCAAAACTTTTGAAAGCACTTTTGGACTCATCAATTTCAGCTTCAATGTCAACTTCAGTTTCAGGTTTCGAACTGATATTTTCCACTTCATTAGAAAAACTTTGAATTTGACACTGATTTTGAAGATGACCTTGAATGTTATTTGTGACAGTTTCAAAAGCACTTAATCTGTCTTCAAGTTCATCGGAGAAATATTAGAAATTTGATTCTTTTTATAGTTTAAATTAGTCTCATCATCTTGAAATCATATTCCCAATCAAACTCTGATTGCTTCTCAAAATCTAGTCCATTACCTTCCGTCTGATTTGGAAGGTCTGTTTCAACCATTTAAAACTCTTCATTTAATTTTAATTCATAAAATCCTTCTCTCTTTTTATCTTGTGTTTTAAAATATTCAGAAGTCTTAGTATTAAGAGTTAAAGGAGTCTGGTTCAATTTCGAAGAGTGAGCATACCATTTGAAACTCTTCATTTAATTTTAATTCATAAACTCTTTCTCTCTCTTTATCTTGTGTTTCAAAAAAATCAGATGTCTTAGTATTAAGAGTTAAAGGAGTTACTTGGCCATTTCGTTTGCAAAATACTGGACTTACTGTGGGCCCA